CTTCTTCTCCCACCACTTTCCCTTCCAAGATATCCCCAAATTGAACCCCTAACTTAGTAAAAATCAAGACCAAAGAATTGATCGATTTCACCCAGTGCAAAGAAAAAAATATATGAATGTGTGTAACTTTCTCTTTTCTAATCTCGAGAGTCAAAATAAAAAAAAAATCAATGTTTACGTCAATATTTTGACTCTTGACCAAATGGCGTCAAAGTCAAAATCGAAAAAAGTTGACGAAGAGGGTTGTATTGGGAAATTGTACAAGTACAAAAAGGTAAATCGACGAAATTAAGAGTACGAGGGGGTAAAGTGGTTCTTGGGCAGAGTACGAGGGGGTAAAGTGGAATTTACCCTAAAAAAAACTCTAACTAACTCTAATTAACTCTAAATATAATAAAAAAACTCTAACTAACTCTAGTTAACTCTAAATATAACAAAAAAACTCTAACTCACTCTAATTAACTAAATATAAATATAGTTTTAATTGTTTAAAACTCTTCATCACTATACCAATCACTGGTGAATAAGAAAGCACAAAATATAAATAGAGTTTTAATTTTACTCTTCATCACTATATCAATCACTGTTGAATAAGAAAGCGGAGTGGCATCCATCGTCTTGGTAGATTCGTCTGGTTCGATTGGATTTTTGTGACGACATTTCAAGTTTTCGTAGAGCCGCCGCTCATCATGCACCAATCCGACATCGAGCAGCAGCAGCAGCGGTGTCAACAAGATCCGGCGCCGGATGATGGAACCGCCATTTCCGTGAACGAAAGCCGTGATTCTCACACTTCTGCCAACATCAGTTCCACCGCCATCGAACCCTAATTCAAACCATGGCCCAATCTAGCTTCTCCACGTCTCGTTCAACCAGGACTATGAATGTTTCGCCACCTGGCATTGACTTTTGCGGATTCCGAATCTTGAAATGCAATCCCTTCGGCGAGATCCGTCGCCGTGATTTTGACGGGATCGATGGAGGTTTTTGCTCTGTCGAGATGTTTTTCAAGTACAATATCACAAACGCAAACAGGCCCGACCCAGTAAACAATATTTCCGGGCATTCTAGGGTTTATGAAAGATATATAAATCACTCACTCACACTCTCTCTCTCTAGTCTCTACCCTCTCACTTTTGGCAAAGCGACAAATTTCTATAGGCGATTTGCGAAAATAAAGAAATTTGTACTTGTGTGAGCGAATAATGACGACAGCTCGGAAGATCTTATCGACGAAGGAGGCCGACATCCAGATGATATCCCCATGATATCCTACCAAATACATACAATGATACAAATGAATATTTTCTAAGTATATATATATCTACATTAAGAGGAGGATTATAGAAGATCTTCTAGAATCCATTAGACTTGTTTTAGTTTATCAACCTTAAGCCACTTGGCTTGGCTCCATGAAAAATGGGTTGCCCGTGACAGACTACTCATAAGATTTTGTCGACGAAGGAGATCGAAATTCAAATGATGTTGGCCGCTGAAGTTCACCTCGATCGGCACCAACTTTCGGATGGAGCGTTACGTCGTCTTGACTACCCCACGTTTAAGATAGTGTACAAATATGGTTTTATACTTTTAATGGCAAGCCGCACATGCGGGCACTTAGAGCTCTCAAACTAAAAGACCCCGATAAAATTTATAGTTTATATACTTACATACAATTCTAATAATTATTTAAATTCTCAGAAAATTCGTCAAACTCCGATTTTAGTTTTGGAAACATAAGTAACATTCAAACAAATTCTCTCTTTCACAAAAGTACATTTTATCTAATTTATTATTTTTAGAATTTTTTCACAAGAATAATATTTTAAATAATATTATAACGGAGATTTAGACATATTGTATTATCATTGATAAATATAACGATATATATGTCATGAAATCTCTCACAAAGTCCGAAAAAACATATGCATTACTATTTTAGTTGTTTTAAAGTAACATTGTTAGTTTAATAAAATTAATACGGTGTTTGTCAAAAAAGTAGTATTAATTAATAACTTCAAGTAACAAAGAAGGACAAGATGTCACGGTTCGTCTATATTGGATCAAATGTTATGGTATTTGGCCAAAGAAGTTCTCGTTTTAGTTAAACAAAATGGTCTAAAAGGCCTAAGTAAACCACTTTTAGGTAAAAACTTACCATCAAGTTGTAAAGGTTTCAAAGAGCTCTCTGAAAAACTTTCTTTTATACTTAACTTCTAGAATGTAACTAGAATATCAAAATGCTCTATACGATCATTCTCAACTGCAATTTCAAATCAATCTTATCATCAATTAGGGAGGTTTCTCCTCGGAATAATTTTTATTTCTCCTCTTCGATCTTGTGAAAGTTGAGGAGTTAAATTTTGATATTGCATATTGCTTGTGTGTCTCAATTTTTTTTTTTTTTTTTTGTAACACGAACGAAACCTGATTTTGTTTGGAGCATACATGAGCAAAACCTGATTTTCTTAGGTGTTTCTCATTGCAAGTCTTCCAATTTACTTTCAGTCTTTCACCAATTTTCGTGTCATCTCATGGTTAGTAATTTTTTTTATTTTCCTGCTATGTTTATGCTAATTATTTGGTTTTTTTTTTCTTCTGGTAAATTTGTGTATATACATAATTATCATTTGTAATGAATTATGGTGGAGATATTTTTAGATTTTATAGTTAGATATGTTATATGGGAGGACCTCAAGCCAATAAAAGAGACAAAAGCCGATATTGTCAGCCACTTGCAAAGTCTTGCAATATTTGTGATCAAATTGTGTACTAATGAACTTGTCAAAGGGGATTTGCCTTTTGCATGAATGTTTAGTTTTACATATGTATTTTCATCTTCAAAATTCAAAATTCAATCCAACTAGAAGGAAAACAAAATTGCAGTCAACGTTCAGTGGCACGCATAAAAAGATAAAAATATTAGGACAAAAAAAAAACTAAAAAAAGTCAACGTTGGAAACCGGCGGCAGGAAATGCATACAGAAAAAAAATTAAAAAAAATCAACGCCCGGAAACCAGAGGGAAAAAAATATTTCAGAAAAAAAAAAGTTTTTAAAAAAAGTCAAAATTGAATCTTTGTGGTCAAAATTGACTAAATTGAAGTTACAATTACGAATTATATTTAAAGGATTGAGAGTATTTCATCGTATATATTAATATTTCCTTTATTTATAATACATATTAAAGAGTTGGACTTATTGACGAAAAAGATATAACAGCTGATCCTATAATAATAAAAATAATTGGTCACGGACATATGCACAAAAAACCCTTACTTATATTTAGTTGCAAGATTTTTTTTAATTTTTTTTATTTTTTTATTTTTATATATAATATGATATTTACTTTAGCTTAATAGTTTATAATTGCAGATCTGGTGGATTGAAGTAAAACCACCCAATTTGACGTAAATTTTTTTTTTCTTTTTTTGTAAATTATGAATTTGATCATAAAAACTATGTTTGTTAGATAATCAATTTTTAAGTTAAAATTGCATGTGTTAGATGACTATTTTTGTTAATGAAATATACATATTTGTTAGATAAATAATTTTTTGCCGTTTGCAAAATAATACGTAGAGTTTTTTTTTTTTTTTTTTTTTTTTTTTTTTTTTTCCGAAAAAAATTAGCTATTAAATTATGAAGACTCATAGATGCACTTAAAGGTCTACAATTCATGTACCATATACTTATCAAAAAAAGAAAATGTATCATATAAAGATGTGGTCGGTCCTTCTACATATCAAAATGAGACCGGTCCTTCCACATATGGAAACAAGGCCCCTCTTTTTACATTCAATTATTCGTCCAATTATTTCAACCCCGTGGGGGATGTTTAAAACCCGACCATATTTCTAAAAAAACCCCAAAAACCCCCCGCTTTTTCAAGTAAAAATGAAATTTTTGACTGCAACATATTGAAAAAAA